GGTTAAATTTACCTCTGAAAAAGCAAGATGGAGTGTGTGGGATTCTTGGGCACTTCATTCTCAGGGTGGGAAAGGCAAAAACAAGGAAGGGAGGAGCCCATCCTGGATGAGTCAGCAGCTCAAATGGAATTCAATGGCACACCTCTGTGTATTATATAAGGTGCAGCCATAGCTCTGGTCCAGCCATGAAATAGGAACACAGGGGGAAAAAAAAAACAACTGGGTCTTGGTAAGGGTAAATATGATACTGTCAATGGAAAGGAGGATTATCAGCAAAGCAAAGCAAAATGACAGGCAGTAAAAAATATTAAAGACTGGGGCAAATTATTTCTCCAAGTAACAAATTCATGGCAATGCTCTAAGACAGAATATTTATGATCATAAACGTGATGGGAATCAACAACAGAGTCAGCATTCTGTGCATTTTCACTATTCTCAGGAAGAGCTAGATGAATACTTTTTTTCACCCTTACCATGGTCTATGCCTCAGTGTGTGTATATACATATATTTTTAATTTTTGTTTTATTTATTTATGTGGTGCTGAGGATTGAATCCAGTGCCTCACTCATGTGAGGCAAGCGCTCAGCCACTGAGCTAAAACCCCAGGCCAGATGCCTCAGTTTATATTTTGCAAAATTTTAAAGATGAAAAAGCTACAAACTTTTCTGATATTTTAAAATTATATCTATAAATGCTGGGATTACAGGGTATGTATGCCTGTAAAGGTATGTATGCCTGTAAAGGTATGTATACCTATAATCCCAGTGATTTGGAAGGCTGAGACAGGAGGATTGCAATTGAAGGCCAACCTGGAAAAGTTAGCAAAACTGTCTCAAAATAAAAATAAAAGGGGCTAAGGATATGGCTCAGTGGTAAAGCACACTGGGTTCAATCCCATGTTTTTTAAAAAAATACAAATATGTATATATTTTTATAAGTAAAACATAAACTGAAATTATTTTAATTTTTAAACATTTAATTTTGCAACATTTAGATTCATTAAGAAAGTTATTTCCATTAATTATGCCAAGATTACTTGAGACCATAATACTATTATTCCCACTGTGAATTTATTTAAGTTTAGATGAATTTAACAGTTATATATTATTGGTCCTCCTGTAAATAATGCACTTAAAAAGAGTTCTTAAACACAACTTTCAGTATGCCCTTACTAGTTGCCTAATGCCTTCTTTTCTGCTGTTACTAAAACTATACTATTAAAAATACAACATTTACTAGTGTAGAACAAAACATTCCCTAAACTGTACCTAGGACATGAGGCCTTGGAATTTCACTTTCCTCCTTCTCAGATGTTGCCATATGCTTTTTTTTTTTTTTTAAATATTTATTTTTTAGTTGTAGTTGGACACATTACCTTTATTTAATTTATTTATATGTGATGCTATGGATCGAACCCAGGGCCTCGCATCGCTCTACCACTGAGCCACAACCCCAACTCTTGCCATATGCTTTTGATTCCATAAACTGTACAATTATAAATAATCATTTCATAAATCATGAAGTAGTTATTAATTTATCTACACATAATAACTCTCAAATGGTCTTCTTACTCTATTTTTTGTGGGGGCAGTGCTGGGGTTTGAACCCCGGGCCTTGAGCTTTCTAAGGAAGTTCTACCACTGAGCTACGCCTTCAGCCACATCAGGTTTTTAAAAAACATTCTGAAGCAACAGAAACATAAAATTTGCCAAGATACACACACACACACATATTTGTTCTTGGTCAAAGAAAAAAAAATCTGAAAACATGCAATTTTCAGTTTAATGAGAATTCCCTCCTGTCCTAGTCAGTTCTGTCATTTTAGCTCCAGACACAGGGTGTTCATTTTGGTCAATTAATCATCCTTCAGTTAGTCTCAAAATACGAGAAAGATTAATTCTAATAATAGGATACTGATTCTTTTAGTGATTCCTAATTTTTTTTCTTTAAAAAAATCAAGCAGTCACCTGATAGTTCTTAAAAAAAATTTATGAGATCACCATGTGAATTTGGCATTATTTCTTAAAAGGAGTACAAGAAACAGAGTGACACTGATATAATATTCCCTGGTAAAGCAAGTTAATATTGCCATTGGCTATTGAACTCTGAATACAGTCCCTTTTATATGAAAAACACTTAGTTTATAGACCAATGGTACATTTTACCAAAAAAGTAAAAATGCTTTTGTTTTTAACAGAGGCAGGTTTTCAAACTGTTTTATGAAAAAGTAGGAGAACCCCTACTGTCTGAGAAAGCTTACTAAATCTCAAAGTCTATCTCTTCTGAACTACACTATTAAGTAAAAAATTTGGGTGTCAACCCAAAGTGTTCAGGACTGGGAGTCATGGAAGAGGCATTTTAAACAGACAAGTTTCTGGTTTTCTAGAGCTAAGAAGGATATACAAGTTAGCTTGATTAGGAAGTATATTATTAAGATGTAGAAATATTCTGAGGATCTTTTGGACTGTGATCAGGATTTTAGAGACGAGACACACTGAAAGGAAGGTATATTAGTGACTAAGGATAAACAAGGCTAATGATTTAAGGATAAGAGTCTAGGGTGAGTTTAAGAACACCGGATCTAGCATTTTGCTATATTTCAAAGCAGAGCTCTACATCTAAACTTGTCAATTTTTGAAGAGGAATACGGCTCTCTTCAGGTCTACGGCACAGTGTTTAAGTTCTGCCCAGTTTGGTAGTATCTGCTTCCATCAGGTAGATTGCTGAAACTCAAAAACTCATTCCTGTGGTTCTAGACCACTCTTTCCTGACAGAGATTTCCAAGAATGGAAATCTCTTGTTTGGTAGTAATTATCCATAAGATCCTTTCCAGAGGGCTGGGGTTGTGGCTCAGTGGTAGAATGCTTACCTAGCATGTGTGAGGCCCTGGGTTCGATCCTCAGCACCACATAAAGATAAACAAATATTTGTCCATCTACAACTAAAAAACGTTAAAAAAAATCCTTTACAGAGACTTTCACTATACCCATTAATAAATCTGGTCCTTATATAAAGGCTATATGACATAGATGTCATCCATATTCTTCATCTCTATTATTTTCCCCCTTTCAATTTTTTATTTTCCATAATTATTCTCTATTTTCTTTAATCCTTCAAGATCTTTTCCTAGGTAACTGCAGGTTATGAATAGAGAGCATACTAGGAATCTGTCTTGAGTCAGCCTGGAATAAATGCAGCTTTCATATCTCTTATTTTCTTATCTTCTTGTCCTGAAATTCCAGTTTTTTCTGACATCTCTCCCTATTTCTACCTCCATTCTTCTTCCTACCCAGAGGCCACCTGAAACATGCAGAATAATAAAAGGTGATTAACCAATATTTGTTCCCATAAAATTGTTCTCCTATGTAAGCATGGTGGTGCATTTCTGTAATCTCAGCTGAAGCTGAGGCAGGAGGATCACAAGTTCAAGGTCAGCCTCAGCAATTTAATAAGATCCCTTTCCAAAGTAAAAAAAATATATATAAAGGGCTGGGGAATGTGGCTAAGTGGTAGAGTACGCTGAATTCATTCCTTAGTACTGGAAGATAAAAAAAGCTATAAACAATAGTGTAGGTATGTCCGTATAGAAGAAAATACAAACAGTAGGCTTTTTAAAAATATATTTTTAGCTGTAGATGGACATGATATTTTAATTTTATTCATCCATTTATGTGGTGCTGAGAATCAAACCTACACATGCTAGGCAAGCACTCTACCAATGAGCCACAACCCCAGCCCCACCTTTTCTATGACAAATACATACAGGCCTTTGCTTATCTTTATGACTTTATGACAATATGACATATTACACTTAAAGACCCTGCATTGGTTTCCAACCCTTTTTGGTCACAAATACCTGAAGGACATGATATTCCCATCTCTAGCTGTATTGCGAAGGTTAATTTTATGTATCAAATTTGCTGGCTTATGGTGCCCAGATATTTAGTCAAATATTATTCTGGATGTTCTTGTTTAGGTATTTATTCTTTTTGGGGGGGTGGTGGGAGAGGTACTGGGGATTGAACTCAGGGGCACTTGACCACTGAGCCACATCCCCAGCCCTA